AGCTACAAATTTAAACTACATAAAGTACAAACATTAACATTAACTGTTCAAACTGTGTTACACTCCTGACACAAGATGTGCACTTGGAACTGTTTATTTGAAAATATATGATTTCTATGATCTTAAGTCATTCAAGTTAAAAATTGAAGCGGTATTCCGCGCCCAGGAAGAAGAATTGTCATTTTGAGTGTCTGAACAATATCTTCAAAGGACTGCCAGGACACATCCTCCTTGGCCTGCCAACTGTACTCGTCAACACCTCCGCTTGCTTTAAGGAACCTAACTTGGATGTCATCATCTGCCTGTGATATTACCTATTCAATAAGTAGTTAATATTATTAAATGAAAAGAAAACAATCACATTTCAAGTTCTAAAATTAGGTCATAAAATTACTGAGGAAACTAATGAAAAGTATGCAAAAACAACAATGACCCAGCAATGTACAGATATGTTCTTCTGTTTGACTTGAGAGCTACAGCTACAAAATCTTCAGGGTTAAATCTGCAATATGATAATTAAAATGTTTATACTAACTGTGTCTTTAAAAGATACATTTCTAAAATTATTGGTAGAAATTCATCTGACAAAGAACAGAAACATGCTTAATTTATCCTTCTATATTAGATATTTATTTTGTCGTTACCTATTTAAACGCTGCAAGCTAACATAATGTTCAATTTCCGGAATGTTATCATCAACAATGTTGGTATGGAACTATCTCCATCTCCAATGGTTATGTTAGGAGTATCCCCATGAACACATTTATCTTGCAAGACAGGGCTTTGCACATATTCTGTTAACACACATGGTCTGTATAGGCTCCATTCTTTGACATATTTTCAATATATTTGGTTAAGTCACTTGCCAACATTTGCCCTTATTCCAATTTGTCAGTCTGAAAAATAAAATTGTAAATAGTATTTTTTTTTTTAAACCTATGATTTAAAAACATAAAATTACAAGTTTTTTAAATAAAAAATTTAATAATTAAATGAATTTCAGGCATGACTTTAAAACTAAGCTTGATAAATACCTCTGGTAAGTTTTGCATGTGATGAATTACTTTGCTTCTCAACTGAGTGTGACTTTGTTGAGTCATCCCAAGGGCATCTAACTGATCACTGCTGGCCCAAAAGAAACAATTGCCGTCATCAGGAGTAGTACCTCGAATCTTACAACCTTTTCTGCGAATTTTATTTTCAAACTCGCTAAGAGTTTCATTTTTATGCTCTGTTGAGTTGTTATATATAAGACTCAATGCTGTCTGTAAGCACACCTCTCGGGTTAGTCTCTCTCTCACAATTGTTAGTATTACTAGCCACTACTTTATTAAGGTTAGGTATTAAGCAAAAGCAGAGCAAAAATGCAGTGTTTTGGCAGAATTCAAATGGTTAGTATTTTAAAAGACTAAGGACTACAATAACTGAAAATTGAATATGCAGGAACTGCATTCAAAAAATGTGATAACAAAAATGATTGCAGAATTAACAGTAATTATCATAGATGAAAAAAAAATTACTTTATGTCTTTATTGTTATTGACTTGGTTACTGTTAAGAAATAATATCAAATCTCATCATACTAATTGGCATATTTGTTAACATGAGTTTTATAGTGTTTTTTTGATATCTACTTCAATTGTTTATTAGTCGGCTGAAAATAAAACAAAGTTAACTCTAATTGCCGAAAAAGAAAAAAATGTCAGGAGTGTAACACTTTTCACTATTCTCACATACTGTATTTTACTCATATTGCATACTTAATCTTCAATAATTGTATATAAATGCTTTGTTCTGCAAAGAGTATATACATGATTTTAATTTCTCAGTAATTTCTTTAGTGTATTATCATTAAACTTCAATGATTATACTTGTCAATAGTGGACATTTAGGAAATTTTGATGTTATTTAAGTAAATATACTAAAAACCGAACTTAAGCATTGTGGTTTCTTACAAAAAAACAAATACTAAACTACTTTTCCTTTTGAATAGTGGCAAGAATCATATTTAGATACGAAATTTATATGGTATATTCATGAAATCGTTACAAGGTTAAAAGATGGCAAAAATAGTGTTACACTCCTGACATCACTGATGATCATGTACAGAAAGTACATGACTTAGTTAACTTGAACTAATGTCACTGCTGACATCACTTGGACTCTTGTTTTTGAAAAAGAAAGAATATATTAATATAACACCTTATATGCAATAAGGAAATCAGTAAAAGTACAAGATGTTACACTCCTGACACTGAGCACTGTCATTATTTTGAATCAAAACCGAGTCAATAACATTTATAGCATAGAAAAAAGAGAATTTATATTCTTAACTATATACAATGGTCAAAATGTTAAAAGCAAGGAAAAGCTGTTAATGACAAAGATATAAGCAGAAACTTTACTGTTAGTACAAACCATGCTTTTTTTAAAGTACATTTTATTTTACAACGACTGACTTTAGTGACTGGATAACCAAGCGGGATACCTACATTTTACAAAAAAAAATAAGAAAAAGCAATTGCAAGAGCATTAGATATATAACATAAGTGACAAAAATTGTCATTTAAGAAACTTTTTTTCTGTATCGGGAATAGAGAATCATCATTTGTGTAAAATGTCACACAAAAAGTGTTACACTCCTGACATTTTAGGGTAATTTTTTTCTTGTCTCCTTTTCACTTGTAGCGTGATGTCCCTGAAACTTGGCATATTTTACAACACTGATAGATGCTATATTTAGCACTTATAACAATATACACAACTATTAATTTATTAATCTGGGTAGCCTTTAAATGTTTGGCCTCATTATTTTTGACTTTACCCATAAATGAAATTATATACCCATATAACACAAACTGCCTGAAAAATTATCAAATTTTTTTTTTGAGACACATATCCCTGTATATACTGTCATATATAATTATATATGACAGTATTATAAGGGGTGTGTCTGAAACTTTTTTTGATAATATTTCGGGCAGTTTGTGTTATATGGGGATAATTTCACTTAATAAATTTATGGTTATTTAAGGACTCTGGTGCCAGTGGTAGGAAATGGCCTATAACTGTAATCACTTAAGTTATTTTAGCTGATAAAGATCCTTTATATTGAATAAATTTCATTATTTAACCATGGATCTGTCGGAATCAAATGTGATTATAATAATTAATATCAATATGTCATAGCCACCTAGGTGTATGTAGATCCAGGCCTGCCTGCAAATCAGTATGCAGTTTTACTTGAGCTGTTAGTCTTATCTATAGACTGTTCTTGTAAATGTCTAATTTTATTTTGCACTTTTGGTTTTAAACTCAGCTTAGCATCATTGGTGATGTTCTGACCCATAAAACTGAAATCCCTTATAAAATAAATTTTGACCAAAGTACTTCCACTGTGAGTCAAAGCAGCAGGTGTTAACACATTGTGTAAATACTTCTTGGTAAGAAAAAAAAATATTTTGAAAACATGAACATAAGCTGAGCATTGATCATAATGATTATTATTATATTAATTTTTATTTTCCAAAAGATTTTTATTTTTAGTGTCCTGTTCCCAAAGCCATATACCTGATGGTTAAAAATTCAAGGGGAGCGGTGGCCTAGTGGTTAAGGGGTCTGCCTCTCAAACCAGGGATCATGGGTTCGAGCCCTACTCGGTTCATGACCATGTTTCTTCTTATGACACCAGTACTGGTTGGTTCCAGGAAACAGACTTGAAAGTGATTAATATAAGTTGGGCCATCCTTAAAAATATGTTTGTTTGCAGTAACCCGACCCAGAATTTTCAAGGTGGGTAGGTAGGTCGATTTTTTTTTTTTTTTTTTTTTATTGAACTGTACTCCCAAATAAACATGCAATTTCAAAATGCTGGACAATATATGCTGTGATAATCTGGTAACAATTAATAAATTGTTAACTGAATTCTAATTTAATAAGAACTACATTTTTTTATTCTATTAACCTTTAAAAGAACGAAGGCATAATTTTCAGAGACAAAAAAAATTAATTTTTTTATCCAGACCATGAAAAAAAAAATTTGAGTAGGGGCAAATTTTGTGAGTCGGTCGCGTTACTGCAAACATACATTTTTTTAAGGATGGCCTTGCAAGAACTAATGTTTCACAATCAAGCTTCAATAAATTTGTTTAGGCACTGACAGATATTTACCTGAAAAAGACATTTTGTTGATATATAGCAGGAAGAAGTACCCCTTGTTATATATTCAGGGGAAAAAATGATTCTGTTGTCAGATTTGTTGGGTGGGAAAATGCTTTGTTGTCAGATATGATTGGAATACTGGCCCACTTCTAAGATCGGAAGGAGGGCATAATATTATAAAGAGTGATATTAAGCAACAACTTTAGTTACATAGTTATACAGCTTTAGTTACATAGTTATACAGCTTTAGTTACATAGTTATACAGCTTTAGTTACATAGTTATACAGCTTTAGTTACATAGTTATACAGCTTTAGTTACATAGTTATACAGCTTTATGTTGCCTTTTATTTGACCGCCAAGCAATGTATAAGCAGAGCGTTTTAATCATATCTTTATGGTGTTATTATTAAAAAAAATAATAATTCATTGATAACATTCATAATTAACAATATACCAGGGAGAATGTGTGTTACTGGTATAGGGTATAATATAATATAGGTTACTAAAATATATAAAGCATAAATCTATATATTATGAAATATTTTTATATAATCTATCAATAGTAAAATTATATTGGTTCCATTATTATATAATTGATTCCCAAAAAATTAGTAACATCGTATGTCTCTGTTATTTAACACACATGAATAAAATATTATTTGCTATTTTGAGTAGGGTTTTATCCGTTTATAGCAATGATTTAGTGCATGTGTCATTCGCTTTTAAGGCAATTATCTACCATGTTTATTTCATACAAGCATTTTGGAAGTATTCTTTTTTTAAAATCAAACAGTTTTATACACTTTAATGACTAGCAAATAATTGGTGTAAAAAATGTTTTTGTTAATTTTTCTCTAGTTTTGAATGACACCAAACCAGTGACGTCACAGTGATGTGAAGGTTAGAGCATTAGGTACAGATGAAAATGTGTGACCTTGTTAAAGGAGGTAAGAGATAAACTGCACCAGGCCTGTCAATAGCTATATTTTACTGCTTTAAACTATATGAATAAAATAAATACAGGAATTTATGATTTTTGTGTCGCCTTGAAAAACCTAACATATATAGGTTACTTTTGTCGGCCAGGCCTCCGCGGTGTCCCCTTAGGCATGCCCGGAGCGTAACTCGGTCACTGTAAGTCGGATTGACTCCAAACTTGGTATGCATGCTTCTTTCAATGACCCAAAGTGCATTGTACAGGAATCGTTACTTTGCAACTTTTAATTTTTGAGTTATTGCCCTTTGTTAATTTTCATTATTTTTGAGTTATTGCCCTTTGTTAATTTTCATACTTTATTGTTGTCAGGACCATTTCTCCTAAACTATTAAAGCTATGGACTTAAACCTTCATAGGATGATACATCACATTAAGAATAAGTGCAGTGCTTAAGAACTGGTACTCTTCACTTGTTATTTTTTGAGTTATTGCCCTTTGTTAATTTTCATACTTTATTTTTGTGCGGGCCTTTTCTCATAAACTATTAAAGCTATTGACTTTAAACTTCATAGGATGATAGATCTCATTGAGATAAAGTACAGTGTTTTAAAACCTGTTCTGTGTATTTTATGATTTTTGAGTTATTGCCCTTTGTTAATTTTCTCAAGAACATAATTTGGTCACTATAAGTTTGATTGACTCTAAATATGGTATGTAAGCTTTTTTTATTGACATGAAGTGCAGTGCATCAGAATCCATCACAGAGTCCTCCATTTGATCTGTCAGTGTAAAACTTTCCTATGGTATTTCTATTATTGATAATATAACAGTTTTATGAATCCTGATGTATCATTGTTACAATCAGTTCAAATGCCACTAAAGTTAAAGGTACATACATGTACATAATTATAGTAAGAGCAGTGTTTATAAGTAACCTATATTTATGAAGGAAATGCTTAAGTGACAGTTTTACTGTTCACAAGGCGACACATCCGACTAGTGGAGTTCTAGTTTTTTAAATCTGTAACTTCTGCCTATGTCTTGACTGTTCTTGAAGGACAGTGCCTTTACAAGGCAGGGGCGGCAAAAGGGCGGTTTGAACCATTGAAAGACAATGTTTTTTATAAGCTCAACTACATGTATTTCAAAGAAAAATGTTTGAGCTATTGGTACAGTCATGGTGTCATTTTCAAACCTGTTGTTGTCCACAAACATTGGTCTGATGGTTTTTATGCCCCCACAATGTGGGAGCATATAGCGTTGCACTTGTCCGTCAGTCTGTCCGTCAGTCCGTCTGTACGTCCCGAAATCTTGTGAACGCAACTCCTCTTAAACCTGATGGCAGATTTTGCTTAAACTTACAGGGATGAACAACCTTAATGTGTAGATGGTAGTAAAGGAAGGAATTTTTGCTGCGACCAAATTTAACAGAATTATGGCCCTTTGTTGATTTTTTCACTATATACTATGTAGAAATTTTGTGAACGCAACTCCTCTTAAACCGGATGGCAGATTGTGTTTAAACTTACAGGGATGAACAACCTTAATGTGTAAATGGTAGTAAAGGAAGGAATTTTTGCTGCGACCAAATTTAACAGAATTATGGCCCTTTGTTGATTTTTTCACTATATAATATGTAGAAATTTTGTGAACACAACTCCTCTTAAACTGGATGGCAGATTTTGCTTAAACTTACAGGGATGAACAACCTTAAGGTGTAGATGGTAGTAAAGGAAGGAAATTTTTGCTGCGACAAAATTTTACAGAATTATGGCCCTTTGTTGATTTTTTCACTATATACTATGTAGAAATTTTGTGAATGCAACTCCTCTTAAACCGGATGGCAGATTTTGCTTAAACTTCCAGGGATGAACAACCTTAATGTGTAGATGGCAGTAAAGGAAGGAATTTTCGCTGCGACCAAATTTAACAGAATTATGGCCCTTTGTTGATTTTTTCACTAGATACTATGTAGAAATTTTGTGAACACAACTCCTCTTAAACCGGATGGCAGATTTTGTTTAAACTTACAGGGATGAACAACCTTAATGTGTAGATGGTAGTAAAGGAATGAATTTTTGCTGCGTCCAAATTTAACAGAATTATGGCCCTTTGTTGATTTTTTCACTATATAATATGTAGAAATTTTGTGAACACAACTCCTCTTAAACTGGATGGCAGATTTTGCTTAAACTTACAGGGATGAACAACCTTAAGGTGTAGATGGTAGTAAAGGAAGGAAATTTTTGCTGCGACCAAATTTTACAGAATTATGGCCCTTTGTTGATTTTTTCACTATATACTATGTAGAAATTTTGTGAATGCAACTCCTCTTAAACCGGATGGCAGATTTTGCTTAAACTTCCAGGGATGAACAACCTTAATGTGTAGATGGCAGTAAAGGAAGGAATTTTTGCTGCAACCAAATTTAACAGAATTATGGCCCTTTGTTGATTTTTTCATTATATACTATGTAGAAATTTTGTGAACGCAACTCCTCTTAAACCGGATGGCAGATTTTGCTTAAACTTCCAGGGATTAACAACCTTAATGTGTAGATGGTAGTAAAGGAAGGAATTTTTGCTGCAACCAAATTTAACAGAATTATGGCCCTTTGTTGATTTTTAGTTTTTAACTTGTGGCACATGTAGTCCAAAAAATATTTGACCTAGAGTCATAAGATTGACAGAACAGTGGCGTGTGGGGGCCTCCGTGTCCTATGGACACATTTCTAGTTTCTTAATGGTTTACCTGCATACTTGTACACAATAATCATTTAGACTAGACCTTCAAGTAAATCAATTTGATGGTGATCTTTACTCATAAATGACCTTGACCTTGAAGGTCAAATAATTTAATTTTGCTTGAATTTTGCTATAATTGACTATACAATCATGTACTTTGTTATTTATGGATGGTCTTCATGCACAACTACCTTTAGGACTATGTTTAAAAGAAGGTAAAACTCAGTATGAGCTTGACTCATAAATGACTTTAAACTAAGTTGAAGGTCAACTTGTTTTATTGTTGTTTTTTTGCTGTACATTGGGCTATAACTATGTAAGTATTGAGATAGATTGTCTTCATACTTAACCCTTTACCACATATATACGGGAAACAACGCACTTTCGACCCCCCCCCCCTTTTTAGGCCTCAAATAGTGAAAAAATGTCCTATTTGGGCCCCAAACATAAGTTTTCGTTTGAGAAATGTTGCTAAAAAAATTGAGCACTTTTTCGGCGCGGCCCCCCATCCAAAAGATACATCAGGGGGGATGTGCCGCCTTCTGTTAGGGGGGTTTGAAGGGGGGCGGAGTCCCCCTCATCGCCAAGAAAATTTTGGACTTGTGAGAGGCTAAAAATGACCCCAGGTCGATCATAATGTAAGGTTTAACCAACGCTGAAAAGCCTTTGACTCTATCTCAATCCCTTGAGCAGTTGCAGCACTTTGCAATAAGTTTTGATGGAAAAAATCGAGGCAAAATAGTGATTTTTGGCAATTTTGAGATGTCCCCTCGTTGCCATGGTAACAGGAAATTTAAGACTGAGCATGTCTTTACAAAGGCAATGGTCCAGTCAACATTTGTGCCAAGTTTGATTAGTATTGAAGCATTTTTCATAGTTTCATAGCAGTTTGAACTTGTAACAGGAGGCTTTTCAGTGAAAACGGCCATTTTTCACAATATGCTCATGGGGGAAAGGGTTAAGCACAATAATTGTATGGACACAACATTTAAGAAGGTTTTATTGAACCTGACCATAATCTTTATTTGACCTTGAACATGTGAATTTTGCTAACTGGACAAGAAAAACTTACTTGTTGTATAGCTCAAATATGACCTTTACCTATAACTGACCTTGACCTTTTAATTATCTTGACAATAAAACTTCTAAATATACTTAATATGTTGTCATAACTTTATTATTTATTTATGAATTAGATTCATACTTTGACTAAACATATCGCAACAGATGTCTATTTCCTACGTAGTATCCAGGCTTGTGCACTAAGAGTTATAAAAAGTCCAGCACCGATAGCTTCCAGTGATTTTTCTCGCTTTATTGGGAAGAGGCCTTAGCTTCTTCATTTTGGGAAAAATTGTCGCTAAAATTGATGATTTGGGAAGAAAAAAGCTGGTTTAAGTTAAGATTTTTGGGAAAACTGCATGATTTTAAAGAAAATATCAATTGGGAAGAGGCCCTTTTTCGGAGTCTGTTATATAAGTAGGAAAATCACTGGCTTCTGATAGCAGACCCAGAAGATTTTTGTCTGCTTACAATTTGAGAGCAACTTTAAACTTTGCTTTGACATTTTCATTTCATTTTATTAGGCTAGAGCCTGTTAAAAACACAATGCTCAACCAGTTCTTTATTTTTAGCTCACCTGTCACTTTGTGACAGGGTGAGCTTTTGTGATCGCTTTTCGTCCGGCGTCCGTCCGTTCGTCGTCCGTCCGTAAACTTTTACTTTAAATGACATCTCCTCATAAACCACTTGGCCAATTTCATCCAAACTTCACAGGAATGTTCCTTTGGTGGTCACCTTTAAAAATTGTTCAAAGAATTTAATTCCATGCAGAACTCTGGTTGCCATGGCAACCGAAAGAAAAAACTTTAAATATCTTCTTTTAAAAAACCATAAGAGCTAGAGCTTAGATATTTGGCATGAAACATCTTCTAGTGAGTGTCTACCAGGTTTGTTCAAATAAAAGCCCTGGGGTCAAAATTGGCCCCGCCCCGGGGGGTGATTGATTTTCCCTATATGCATATAGTAAAAATTTAAAAAATCTTCTTTTAAAGAACCCACAGAGCTAGAGATAAGATATTTAGCATGAAACATGTTCTAATGGATGTCTACCAAGTTTGTTCAAATAAAAGCCCTGGGGTCAAAACTGGCCCGGCCCCAGGGGTGTCATTGTTTTTAACTATATGTGTATAGTAAAAACTTAAAAAATTCTCTTTTAAAAAGCCCAATGAGCTAGAGCTTAGATGTTTAGCATGAAACATTTTCTTATGGGTGTCTACCAAGTTTGTGCAAATAAAAGCCCTTGGGTTAAATTGACCCTGCAACATTGGGGGGGGGGGGACTATATACAGGTGAGCGACCTCAGGGCCATCATGGCCCTCTTGTTTTTTTAATCATACTGAACCGTGAGCTTGACCTCTTAAATGACCTTTAACTTCAAAGGTCAAAATTCAGGTAGTTTCACCATCACTGTAACAAATCAAAGTCAATAAATTTGGGAACGGGACATCATTATGCATTATTTATTTTCACAATTAACATTGTTCCAAGTTTTATGAAAGTCTCAGGTAACATATATATGGTAAATATTATTTGCTGCCATTTTGTTAATTGATAATTAAAATTAAATATTTCTCTTCTTTATTATCCAGGGTGAAGAAATGGTAAAAGGTTACAGCCCTTGAAATGAAGTTATCTCTCTTGAACAGATTACACATGCAAGAATTATTATTCCTTTCTATCGGGAGAACCTAAGGAATTGTTGTTAGAGCCTGAAACTAAGGAGCTTGACCCGAGTTGTCTCCCTTTATTGAAATACAAACCATTTCAGTAAGGGATGTGCATCAATTAGTTTATCAAACACTTGACCTTAAAAAATGTGTAGAAAGTTACCTGTTAAACAATGTGTCATAATGCTTAAAGGAGACAAACAAAAATGAAAATGCTTTTAAAAAATTCCAAGACGACAGAAAAGTAGTACAAAGATAGGCACTCATACAGAATTGAACCTTGCAGCCTCGTCGTAAGAAATCTAAAAAGAAATCATGTCAAACTGATAAATCTGTTGATGTAATGTTAGACTTATAAATCTGGTGAATTCATGTAGGAGAAATGGATCTGGCAAAATTATGAAAGACTAATAGATCTGGTAAAATTATGAAATACAAATAGATCTGACAAAATTATGAAAGACTAATAGATCTGGAAAATTATGAAAAACTAATAGATGATAAGATCTGGCAAAATTATGATGATTAGATCTGGCAAAATTATGAAAGACTAATAGATCTGGCTTTACTAACAAATGAATCTCAGTTGTCCTTTACTGAATACACAAGTTTTATGGTGATCTGGAGTGAAAAAGTTCTGAAGATCTAACTCTACACTGTTCTAATTATGTGATCTGAAAAACAGTGTTGTATATTTGAACTAAATTATTGACGGACGATACTTATTATGGATTGTGATATGAAAATAATTGCAGGCACTTTGAATTATCTCTGATTAATTGAATGCAACACAAGACATTTTGATATATGGATATCAAAATTGAAACTGATATAATGAGTAAAATTATGAACAGACATGTTGGCAACAGATCGAAGAGTTGTGAAACTTCGCCTATGAAACAGCAGGCAATATTTTCACCCATGGTAACTTTATCAACAGCTTCTGTTGATCAGGTAAATGTAAACGAATCTGTCGAAGGCGATGAGGTGGATGGATTTGTTGAAGACAAAGTTGAAGATGATGAAGACAATTGGAAAAAAAAATACCAGCAAAAAGCTGACAACAGAAATAGCAAAGGTATAAATTTTGGAAATGGTTATGAAACGGACATGGTTGATCTTAATGTTGAAATTAATGGTGGTAAAGAAGACGTGGACAATGATTTTGATGAAAATGAAGTGGTTAAAAGAGAACATAATGATACTAAAGAGCCTCGAGTTGAAATGTTTGATGAGTATGACTCTAACAGTTGTAGTAATCCATTTGTAATATCATCTTTTCAAAGCTTAAATGCATCTGAAGCTAGGATTTTGGGTTTTGATATCGGCACAGCTGAGAATGACAGAGGGGTTATGGATGTGAAATATGGGGACAAAATTGTGTATGAAGAACAGGGTTTAGCTGATATAAGGATTGAATCTGAAGACCATGTCGATATTTTTAGGGGGCATTTAAACATGGGAGAATCTGAACATGGACCTGAATTTGATAATGATGATTCTTGTAGAGACGGAGATGAAAACTCAGTACAAAGTTTTGATAGCAAAAGATCTGACACTGAGGAATACTTTAATAAGATAGGTGAAACTTTATGTAAACACACAATAGAAAAAACAGTACCACAAAGTTGTGATTATAAAACAAATTGCAATTTAAAGGATAATAGAAAGGAGAAGTCATCTTTGGTGAAAAAGTCAAGGAAACAGAATGTACCAAAAAGAGTAAAGAAAGCGGAAAGTTTTATGGAAACTGTAGTTGTTGATGGTGAAGAAAATGTGGAAATTAGAAATAACGATGATGATTTTGATGCCAAGATGTTTAAACAGAATGGAATCGGAGATTGTTTTTCAACAGACATTGATGACATAAATGTGAATGAAAATCATGAAGAGTCAAAGAGTTACAAAGAAACAGGAATACTAAAATCTGAAAAATCAAGGAAACAGTGTAAACCAAAAAGAATTGATCAGTTGCAGAACTTAATAACTGTTGATAGTGGCACTCAAAATCAAAACCTTGACATTGAAAATGATGAAACAGAAACTTTTGAAATTAATTTTGACACCGGTCAAAATCCTGAAAAGGAAGAGGGTCAGAGTATTGAGTTTCAAAATGATGACAATTATTCAGTTACTATTGTAAAAGAAAATGACAGTACTGACAATTTCAGTTCAGATGAAAAGCATGACGTACCTCCTGCTGGACTTGTCAAAGGTTCTGAAGACCTTGATCCTGATAAAAATGAAAGTGAAATTACAGAAGAACTGAAATATTTACAAGACACCGCTATCAATGTGGGAAAAACTGATCATCTTTATTCTGATAAAGATGAAAGTAAAGTTACAGGAGAACTGAAATATATACAAGACACTGCTATCAAAGTGGGAAAAACTGATCATTTTGCATCCATGAGTTCAAATCCTTTCTATTATGGCTTCTCTCCAAATTTGAATGTAATATCAACACTCAGTCCAGGTATGCTTCAAGGAGGCTGTCCTTCTTCCCAGACTGGTTTCGCTCTTGATGAAAACGGACCTGAAAATTTAGAGGTAATCCGTCAACTACGTGAAATAAGGTGCAATCGTTATCGTAAGATAAGTATTGCAGAAAAACGCGAAATTTCAGCTTATGCCAGTAGCCATGGCGTTAGTCAAGCTGCCGCATTTTACAATGTTTCTAAATCCGCTGTTTCCATGTGGACTAAATTAGACTTCAGTAATGCAGACGAAGAGTGTTCTGTGAAGAGGAAGAACTGCATGTCTGGAAATGAGAAATTTGAAGCACTCTGTCGGAAAGTGAAGAGTGAAAGGGAGAATAAATTCAAAGGCATGAGTAAAGACGATAAGTTTGAAGTGTCGAGATACGCTAAATTGGTAGGAGTGCGAGAAATGTCGAGATGTTTGGGAGTTGCACTCGGGACTGTATCTGGCTGGATGCGACAGTTTCCTTACAAAGTGGAGTCTGACTCTCCTGATGAAACTGTGCAAAAGAAAAAAATCTCAGTAAAAGACATTGAAATTACAAAAGAAAGTGAGCAGAATGAACAATTAGAAAAGAAGAGGAAAAAGTCTGAGCCGAACAGAAAAAGGAACAAGAAGCTAAAACTTTTAGTAGAGATGGATACAGACTCGGGACCATGTGATATAAATCAAGAAACTGAAATGAGGAATAAACATCCAGTCGAAAAGGCAAACAATGTTGATAAAAATGAAAATAAAGAAGATGATGAGATGAATCAGTGTGATGATGAAGAGGTAACTGAGGAAGTTGTGTCAGAGCACACAGATGATGTTGATAAGATGATAGCCGAGACCTGGCAGAAACCGGATATTGATAAATGTTTTGAAGAGGTAAGAGAATTGATAAAGGATTCTCCACTAGAGGACGATGATTTCTTTCGTTCTTTATTTGGCCGTGTACTTGCCTGTCGAGCGGAAAAATACAAGACGTTAAAACCGAGTGAGAAGCTAGAAGTTGTGAGGTACGCTAAGCGTATTGGAGTGAGGCGTGTAGCTAAGATAATGGGTTTAGCAACAGGTACTTTATCAGGATGGAATACAAAATACCAGTCTAGTCTCAGCATCACTGATCCCAGTCTAGAAATGTCAAACAAAACAGAATTGCTTGTTTCTTATTTATCTCCTGACAAGAATACGGAAAGTGAAAGTGCACCGGTAACACCCGTATCTCTAATGGACAATATGGGTGAAAAATCTGAGGTCACCGCTGTGAAATTACTTTTTAAAGACAGGTTCCAAACTCTGTTGCAGAAAATCAAAGTTGCCAAGCAAGTAAAATTTAGGAACATTTCAACAGAAGAGAAAATAGAGTTTGTAAAGTGCTCGAAACTTGTAGGAATTCGGCCGACAGCAAGAGTTTTTGGAATACCTATTGGGACATTGTCCGGTTGGATTTCCAAGTATAGCAAGTTATTACACCCGCCCTTACCCAATTTGATTGTTCTGGTGCGTGGAACCCCAAGAACACGGTAACAAAATTCCATACGCTCGGAAAGTTTCGTCCCCAGATTTTGTATACAGGGATTTAAATTATCCAAATATTGGTAGGACGCAACGCCCAACTCTTTCCAGGAGGGATTCCTTCTAGCTTGTCATGGCCGCAAGGAACTGAACTGGATTTATTTTCACAACTTCAAGGAATGCCGTCAACACAAACATCATCGTTATTTCCAGCGTTAGAATTACCTTCATCTCCATCTTTAACAACAGAGACTTGTTCACAGCAAAATTATAACAGCATTTCAAATGATGAGAAACTTTATAGAACTAGTCTCAGTAACATTAACAAAGAAGACCAGTCTGGGGGAGGAAGTAGTTATGTTAATAAAAATATTGTAAACCAGTCTAGTTCAGATGAAGAGCAAAAAGACAATGTAAAGCAGTCAACTACTAAACCAGATGAGGATTTTGAAAGAGAGGCTAAAATAATGGCTGAACGATACCTGACTGCTACATATAAAAACATGGGAATTCCCATATTGTAACTGAATCTTGGGGCATTTAATATATATTAATTATTTATAAAAAATGTTGTCTAAACTGAATGACTGTTGACTGTCATTTTGAAGATATAAAAGATACAGTCATGTATTATATATTGGTGCATTTATATTTGTATTAGTTATTTTATTTATTAAGTTAAAGGAGCAAAAAATACCAAAAAGAAAAAATTACTGTCAAGGATGAAAAATTAAAGAATAAATTGCAGGCATAAAAAATAATGGGATTGGATTTTTGGGGACATTGTTTAAAATATTGTGGGGGATTTCTGCGTTACTTTGCACTAAAGACATCACTGTATTATTTGTAATACAAATATTCTGTGAGCGCAATGGTATTTAATCATGATGTTACATTCTTATGGTGATAATTGATGGGGCAAAATGTTTTTATCTTTTTTTATTTTATTTTTTTATTTGATGTTCTATTTATTTATTTTTATTTAATTCATTTATAGGACTTTTTTTTCTTTAGATTTTTTTATAGGTAAAGAATTTGCAGATATGCATAGTCTTTTATCATTTAACTGTAAGCAGATGATTTGAATTATAATTGATTATGATACCTGTACACATTTTTCTACACATCAAATATTGCATGATCTGACAGAAAATAATCAGCATCACACTTGGTTATTATCCCGAATGACATTGCTGGGGCAAAAAAATTGGTGCCCCAAATGTAATTTGGTTGAATATTCCCTTAAAAATTTTGGGAAAAAGGGAAACTGTACAATAAAAAAGGATTACATTTGTTATTATATGGGAATATCTTGAATCTTTTTTTTACTTAATATCTGATTAGGGTTTTTACTAGAAAGGTCATCAAACAACCGCCCATTAGTCCAAGCCCGGAATCAACAAAAGGGCTCCATCCAAGCCACTCCACCACCCGAGGGGCCCATTGCCAAGCTTCGGATCACAGCCAGGCCCCATCCCAATGCTCCAATCAACACGGAAAGGGCCCTATCCAAAACCTCAAATCAACATGAGGCCGCATCCCAATCTTTTAAGATCCTTGCCTAGTAAATTCACCTCGAGTCAATAATAATAAACAGATCAACGAATTCTTTAGTGAAACCAGATAATCAGTATTAAATTTAATCAATTTATCAAGAAAAAACCCTGCTTTCGTGGGTTATGTCTTAAAAATAAAATTGTAAATAAAAGTTATTTTCTTTGTTTTGGTAATTTAAAATTGTTTTATTAGCTTTGATTTTGTGTGGGTAATATCAAGATAAATTGTAAAGTTTTACACAAAATATTTTATTAAAGGCAGTATTTGTTAATCAAAACCAAAATTTAAAAATGAGTGGAAAAATGGAAATAAAACAATATTTTATTGAAGGCCCTCAAACCCATTCAATATTTGTTATCAAAGCCTGAATTTAAAAATTCATTGATTAATTTTTGATCTAAATCAGACATGCATTTTTCAATACCTATTGTAAAGGTGATGTCATAATTGAGATTTTTGAAAATCATTGGATATTTTACATATCTCAGTTAATTAGATTTGTCAATGCCTACTGAATATTTTGACATCTTAACTTAATACGGTATTTTAAGAGTTGTTAAGTATTTGATTTACAAGAAAGATGATAAAAATTAAAAAAATTCAAGTTTATTGAACTCTTGATATCCAAAGCTTGCATTGTTGATGCCAATTGTAAAGTAAAAGTGAATAATCAAAAGTTTTTTTTTTATATTTGATGATTATAAACTTTGAATTTCCTAAAAGCACATTGATGTGTCAAATAAAAAAAAAAGATTTTCAAGTTTGTTAAATATTGAAATAAAATAGTATTAAATATTAATCTATTGAATTTTTCATCTGAAAAAGACTAAGATTCATTGAATTGTAACTTTAATTTTCAATTCTATTGAATATTTTATATTTAAGATAGCATTCTCTATTGAATGTTTGATCTGAATATTTGAATGTATCTTTAAGTTCAATTAAATGCAACATAGATTTTCAACTTTATTGAAAATGTCAAAAATAGCATTGCCGTTTGAATGTTTTATAGTAGAAAATAGCATTTTCTATTGAATTTTTGATCTGAAGTCATGAATATATTAAGTTCATTTAAATGTAACTTTTTCAAGTTTATTTAATATTTCAAATAAAAAAAATGTACATTGTCTATTGAATATTTTATATTAAAAGTAGCATTTTCTATTGAATATTTGATCTGAATATTTGAATGTATCTTTAAGTTCAATTAGTGTCCAGCTTTATTTGTCTTCCAATGAAAACGCTGTATTTCTTAAAAATTATGTGTGTTAATTTTCATAGAAGAAAAAAAGTCGATACTATATTGAAATTCGTTCATAGTCGCCTTCTATTTTTCATAGTGCTTCATAGTACCGCGTAGTGACGTAATCAAGGGCCAAATAAAGCTTGACACTAAATATGTTAGTGTTCATCCTTAGCTGTTCTACAGAAATTAGAAACATTCTCCTGTCGCTATCGCTCCCGTCGAAGTTTCTAATTTCTGTAGAACAGCACGGATGAACACTAACATATACTTAAATGTAACTTATTGAAAATTTGAAGATGTACATTGTCTATTGAATATTTTATAGTGAAAATAGCATTTTCTATTGAATTTTTGATCTGAAATCTTGAATATACTAAGTTCATTTAAGTATAACTTGGATTTTCAAGTTTATTGAATATTTCCATTGTCTATATTTAATAAATGATCTGAAAATGTATATAGATATAATATAGATATCTCATTATGATGACTATGTTACTGTAGTTGTGATTTTATTTTGATATCATCAACACATTTATGTGTATACTATGTATGCAAACAATATGTACATTCCATAGATGCTTTATTGATTTGGTTTATACAGAATTTCTTACTGAACATCATTGGTTCTACTCAGGTGTCCGTTTGTGCCTGAAATTATGCACGGAATGGCACCTGAGGTCTTCCTTCACCAGTAAATCTGAAAAGTCACCATAAGACGTATATTGTGTTTGAGCAACCTAAAAATCCAATCAAACAAATACACAGGATTAATTTAGTTTAAATTATGTAGGAAGCTATAATTTTATTGACACAGTTTCAAATATGTTCCTGGAACCAACCAGTACTAAAGCAACAAGTGTTAAGTTTCTTGCTCAAAGAAACAATGAATTGCCCTTGACAGGGCTTGAACCCTTGTGGCCATTAGATTACTAGTCTGACGCGTTAACCTCTTAGCCATGCCGCCACTTTATAGATTTGATTTCTAAGAATCTCTTTAACCGAAGGGAAGACCTGTTGCTAATGGCAACACTGATCTTGTGGGTCAACCCTTTTGACAAATGTTTGTTTAACCATGTTTTGTAACTGTCATTTATATGTTTAAATTTAACTTGCCTGCTGAAGACAAAAGCTCTTTGATGAGAAAAGAATCCTTTTGATTCTGTAAAATTTAAATTTCTTTACATACTTTTGCTTGCATAAACCTACTTTATAAGCTAAAGCAAGAAGAATTCTCTTTGGCTCTGTTTAAACTTCTTTACATTTTTGCTTGCATAAACCTATTTCTTAAGCAAGAAGAATTCTGTTTGGCTCTTTTCAAATTTCTTTACACTTTTTGCTTGCATTTTCATAAACCTATTTCATAAGGAAAGAAATACATGTAATTCCTTTTGGCTCTATTCAAATTTATTTACACTTTTTTCTGCTATTTCATAGTCAAGAACTTAAATTCCCTTTGTTTCTGTTCAAATTTCTCGACACCTTTTGCTTGCATAAGCTATTTTATAAGGAAAAATAATTCGTTTGTTTCTGTTCAAATTTCTTTTAAACATTGCTTGCATAATTTATTTCATAAGCAAGGGTAGTGCATTTTAGTTTTGTTAAATGATTTTAACATTTAAGCTTGAATAAGGTGAAATAATTTTTGTCAGTTTTGTTCACATTTCTTTATACTTAAGCTTGCATAAGGAAAAAATAATTCCTTCAGTATTGTTACTCATTAGCTTGTGAGAAAACAATACATGTACACAATCATATTGTGCTTAACACATTGTCAGAGTAGAATGCTTGAGTAATTTGGTTATTTTCATAAGCTTCATTTCAATTTTGTTTATTCATATTTCAAATTCAAAAATAAATACTTTATTGATTTATTCATTTAGTATAACCATTGAAATTTTAGCTTTTTGTTTGTTTAGTGCAATAAATGAATAAATTTTTAAAATTATAATGTGTTTATTTGTTATGTTTTTCTGTCCCTTTACTAAGAGTTTATCTTTAACCTTATTATCAAAAGTGAAAAACATTACTATTTAGTGGATAATCAGCAATTTGCTATTGAGGATCACAGGGCTATACTCGATTGAGTGACTGAATAAAGACTCTGAATATTAGAAAATATCATTTAGTGCTCTTTAAACTATTGAGGTGACCATAAAGGCCAATTTTAATGATGATAAAGAACCTTTTGCTTTATTTAGTGATTATC